ACACACACACACACACACACACACACACACACACACACACACACACACACACACACACACACACACACACACACACAAAAAGCGCGCACGCATTGCACACGACAAAGAGCACAGCGCAATGCCTGCGTGTGCGCCGCGTGTCTGAGCACATGGTGGTGTCACCTCGAGGGCGTGGACGACCGCTGCGACCATCATGGGTGTGAGGTGGGCAGCCAGCTCGTCGAGGCGCGGGAGGTACAGGATGGACGGGGCACGGCGTTGCGCATCCGTCAGCACCTGGCGATTGGGAGGTGGGGTTGGAGAAGTGAAGGGGAAGGTGGTGCGACAATGGCACGGGGATGGAGATACAAGTGGAAACGACGCAAACCACAACAGAAAGAGGAAACAAATTAACAAGCAACCAAACCAAACAAACAAACAAACAAGCAAACAAACAAATAACACAAGCAAACAAGCAAACAAACAACACAAACAAACAAGCAAACAAACAACACAAACAAACAAGCAAACAAACAAACAAATAACACAAGCAAACAAACAAAAAAGCAAGCAAGCAAGCAAACAAACAAACAAGCGAAACAAACGAAACGAAACGAAACAAACACACATAAACACGCACCTGCACGACTGTTTCCTCTGGCGTTGCTGCTGCAGCCGCCGCCATCACGGTGGCGAGGTCGAGGGTGAAGACCGGGTACTTGTCCATGATGTACAGGACCGCGGGCGCAACGATGCTCGTGACACAAGATCCTGGTGTTTCACCACGCAGCAGTAGTCTTGGCTTGCATGGGGCAGGCTGCACAAACGGCATGGCCATGTGTGTCGCAAAGAAGCTCGAGCGACCACCACCACCTTGTTGTTGTTGTTGCTGTTGTTGTCGGTGGGCTGTGGCGCCAGCGAAGATGTTGATGGAGGCAATGGGCATGACGGTGTGGTCGTCCTCACGCATTTGCACGCTGTACGGGCGTTGAGGGGCGGGGGAAAGGTGTTGCGGATGATGGAGATTTGAGATGGCTCGTATGTGAGTGTTGACACGACGTTTACATGGATGAACATGTATAATGAAGAGAGCATCACACGGAACCACATGGCACAGACACACAGACACACACAGAGACACAGCCACACTCAGACACACACACACACACACAGACACACACACACACAGACACACACACACACAGACACACACACACACACAGACACGCACACGTACACGCGCACATATGCACAATACCTTCGCCTTGTCGTGAACATGCGTGGCACGATTGCGCTGATGGCAGCTGTTGCGGCGGTGATTGTGGTGTGCAGCAGCGGCGCGAGGTGCGGTGGTAATTTGCGCGCTGGTCCCTGCAGCCAATGCCGAAATTGCAGCAGAATGACGGTGGAGACGGGGTGTGAGTGTGGGGATGGTGGTTGAGGGATGGAGTGTTGAGACTGATTTTGATGCGTATACATGTCACGTCAGGCACCAAGCACCAGAAGGCCGTTAGGAGTTACAGTGGCCAGCCATCCATCGCCAATCACGATCAGGGATAAGCCACCAACCGTCAACCCCGCCTCTCCCCTTTCACGAATCACATGAACGTACGTGTTTGCGCGGTGCAATCTTTGCCATTGCGTCTGCAAAGTCCTGTGCCGTCACGTTGACAGCACGCGCGTCAATGGCAAGCTTGCTCTCGGAATCATAGATCTGCACACGCGGCATGCGTTGTCGTGGTCGCGGTGGTGGTGACGGTGATTGCAGAAACGACAGCGAAAGAGAGAGCATCTCAAGTCACATCACGCCACCACGTGAACAACACACAGGACTCATCACGTGTCTGCTTCAGTGCAACCACAACATGTGTGTGTGTGCTTGTGTGTGTGTGTGTGTGTGTGTGTGTGCGTGGGTATGTGTGTGCGTGTGTGTGTGCATCATCACAGCACCTGCGGGTATGTGCGGCGGAGGGCGAGAAGCGCGGTCTCCGTGCACAGCGCTCGCATATCAGCACCGCAGTACCCGACACACTGCTCAGCGACCTCAGACAGAAACCGCTCAGACAGGCGCGGCCGCCACGCCTGTAGAGGAGGGAGCGGGGGGTAGATGCCATGGTGGTGATGGTGGAGTTGAAGGGGGTGAGGTGGAGGTGCCTGATGAGGGACGTAATTGAAATGCAATCTGCACAAGCACACTCACACAGCCAACACATATACACACACACTCTCTCTCACATACACACACACGAGCACACACACACACACACACACACACACACACACACACACACACACACACACACACACACACACACACACGAGCACACACACACACACACACGAGCACGCACACACACACACACACACACACGAGCACGCACACACACACACACACACACACGAGCACACACACACACACACACACGCATGGGCGCACATCCGACGAACCTTGGTGTGGACCTTGAGGATGGATGTTCTTGCGTCATGCGATGGGAGCGGGAAGAAGAATTCGCGGTCAAAGCGCCCGGGGCGGCGGAGGGCGGGATCCAGGCTGTCAAGGCGGTTCTAACATAACCCCATGTCACAACACGCATGAAGTAATAAATCAACAGTCAGAGGGAACACATAAGACAAGGTATGACGGAACACACACACAAACACACACACATACAAACACACACACACACACATACAAACACACACACATATACAAACACACACACACATACAAACACACACACACATACAAACACACACACACACTCTCTCTCTCTCTCTCCGGGTTACTTGCTCTTCAATCCACCCCGCTCCCAAATCATCAGGTGATCGGGCACTAACGGTTGCGCCAATGACAACGACATCGCTTCGCTTGTCCAGTCCGTCCATGAGCGCGAGCAGCGTCGAGACAATTGATCCGTAGTGGTGGTCGAGACGTCCCGTTCGCTTCGGTGCCAGCCCGTCAATCTGCAGCAGCCGCCATGGTCATGTTGACGGTGGTGGTGGTGGTGGTGGTGCTAGCGTTGAGTGAGGTGTGTGTGTGTGTGCGTGTGTGTGTGTGTGTGTGTGTGTGTGTGTGTGTGTGTGTGTGTGTGTGTGTGTGTGTGTGTGTGTGTTGTTTTGTTTGTTTTGGGGGTGGGAGGTTACACGCTTTCAATGGCCCATCATGCCTGCGGGTAGCTCCTGTGAACAACGCCTGTGAGCAATGCCTGTGAACAATGCCTGCAGGCAACTTCTTGCACGGCCTGACCTCGTCAAAGAAGATGATGGAGGGACGCATGAGGTAGGCTTGGTTGAAGAGCAGCCGCAGCATGCGTTCAGACTCGCCAACCCACTGTGATACCAGATGGTGGCGGTGGCGGTGGTGTTAGAGGGACGATTGGTGCACGTGATGTGCGATGGTGGGGATGGTGAGTGAAATAGGCTGTTGGATGTGCTGCTCGTGTACATAAAACAGGTTGGGGGAAGGCATGCACTGTGATGGAATAGCACGCTCCCTCCACTCACAGGTACCGCAACGCATCGGCAGCAGCAACCGCAGCCGCAGCAGCAACACAACACAACACATCACAACCAAAGCCACCATGGCCACGACCAACCTTGCTGAGGCAGTCTGCGCCCTTTCGCATGAAGAAGCTGACGTGTTTGCCTGCCTTTGAGCACTCGTTCGCCAGTGCTCGCGCCACGAGGGTCTTGCCCGTGCCTGGCGGGCCGTGGAACAACACTCCGCGCGGTGGGTCCAGCTGGTGATGCGTAATGCGATGTGGAGGGAGCACACGTGAAGATTGGGGGTTGTGTTTGGAAACGTGCGAGCGTGTGTGTTTGTGTGTGTGTGTGTGTGTGTGTGTGTGTGTGTGTGTGTGTGTGTGTGTGTGTGTGTGTGTGTGTGTAGTGTATGAGTGCGAGTGGGAGTGTGTGTTTGTATGTGTGTGTGTGTGTGCTGTGTGTGTGTGTGTGTGAGTGTGCTTGTGTGTGTGTGTGTGTGAGTGAGAGAGAGTGTGTGTGTGCACTAACAGACACAGCGTTGTTCCACTTTCCCTTCCTGCTTACGATCGCAAGCACCACACCACCAATACAAAGCGAAGGCGGCCAGCAAGGGGCGGCAGTGGTCACCACCTTGAATTTGCTGAAGATCTCTGGGTAGAGGAGCGGAAACACAATCATTTCCTTCAGCGACCGCACGTGGTGATCCAGCCCGCCAATGTCCCGGAATGACACCGCACTGATGGTGATGGTGGTGATGGTGATGATGATGATGATGATGGTGGCGGTGATGGTGATGATGATGGTGATGATGATGGTGGTGATGGTGATGATGGTGGTGATGGTGATGGTGATGGTGATGGTGGTGATGGTGATGATGGTGGTGATGGTGATGGTGATGGTGATGGTGGTGATGGTGATGATGATGGTGATGATGGTGGCGGTGATGGTGATGATGATGGTGATGATGATGGTGGTGATGGTGATGATGGTGGTGATGGTGATGGTGATGGTGATGGTGGTGATGGTGATGATGAGAGCATATGTATTTCAAGGATGAGGAACGATCGTTTGAACGACGATTATGATGGCCAACAGTGTTCGACCTGCATAGGCGTCGGCAGTGCCTGTCATTGCAGCCATCCATCACATGACACCCCGTTACACCACCACCACCACCACTGCATCCCCTATTACCGCCCCCTCCCCCCACAACCACCCTCATCACCATCATACCGCCACGTCGCACTCACGTGTCGATGGTCATTGGATCAATGTCGGTGCCAGATGTGCCAACAGCGCGCGCTCGGTCTTGATGCGCCCGCTCCTGCTCGCAGGTAACGGACGGGGGTGGGGGGAGAGTTAATGAGGCACTTGACGTGTAATGTGCGCAGCCACAAATCAACCATACAAAGTACACACACGCACACGCACACACACACACACACGCACCTCTGCGTCTGTGCGAGCGTTGAAGTTGAGGGGGCGGAGTTCGTCCCTTGCGCGATGCAACGAGCGCTCCTTCCGCTCCTACCATCATT